GCGATTACGATTGTGTTGTTGAAAGAATCCAGTAGGCTTAGACTAGCAAAAGAGATTGCGAACTAAGGACCTAAATATATTCACTTTGCATTTTGCTTTCTACAACCCAAGTGCCTTTTCAACAAGCTTTAAGCAGCTGAGCGTAATTTTTAAAATGCATGACAAGGAACTATTTTTCATAAAGTGCGCATTGGCGATGCTCGCGTCTACCTCTTAGGAGATAGGCCGCTTATGTGTAGTCAATACGGACCATGCATCATTACGCACGGTCGTAAATGGTCCGAACCCCTCGTAAAGTATGGCAAGGTTGCTGTCCTTCTTCGCAGAGTACAGGTCCTCCGTCGAGTACAAATTAGGGCGACTAAATGTCGCCGTGGACGCATTATCGCGCCAACCCGACTTCTAGTCGGCTGCGAAGTCCAACAGTGGGGTTGAAATCACAGTTGCAACACTAGTCACTACTGTTCCGACATCAACATTGCTTGACAACATTAATAAGGCCTACGCAGAAGATAAGGCCATTCTGCAACTAATGGATAATATGGTGACTCCATCTCGTAAATCTCGAAAGGTTTACCGGCCTTGTATCGATCCTCTACGGGAAGGTACACAACATTTAACGGGTTAATGTAATATGCAGCCGTTACCGGCGACGCACCTCTTGTTGTTGTCCCCAATCACAACAATTTGCACCTGATCATCTTGTATAATTGCCATGATACACCATCCAGTGGGAATTGTGTGGGCGTGAGAAGACTTTTCTCACGGTAAGTCACGACTTTTACTGGTCCCGCCGGTAGCAGTTTGTTCGCAAATACATTCTTGCTTGCGAGGTTTTCCAATAAGTGAAGCCCATTTCTTCATCCTTTGTGCCACTACAGCCTCTAACAATACTGGCAAGAGTTCTGGCAGTCCGTTTCAATGGACTCCATCTTCGCTTTCCCCAAAGACGCTCACAAGAATGATAGTATTCTTGTGTTTGTAGACTGGTTCAGCAAGATAGTGCATCTTGATGCTGTACCCGAGCCGATCACGGCATAAGACTGTGCCCATGTCTTCATAGACACGATTTTTCGAATCCTTGCGAGCTCGTGTCCAACATTGACATAGATGTACGGCGGAGTTTTGGCAATCCGTGTTCCTATCGTTCGGAAACCGATTGAAGATGTCAACATCAGACCATCACGAAACGGATGGTCAGAAAAAACGTACAAATCGTGTCCTTGAAGAGACGCTTCTAGGATAAGTCAACTCGTTCTTGATTCGGAGTGAACACCTCCCCATGGTAGAATTCGCCATCAATAGTTCGTTGCATGCGTCAACCCAGCACACGCCATTCTTCATGAATGTATTACGCCATTGGCGTCTGCCCACCCTCTTAGCGTGTGACTCTTGGATATGGGGGGAGGGACTCGCTCGAGCAAAACCGCTATGTCTCTTGTTCATCACGTGTCGACGCGAACGTCGTCACGAATGACGCCGATGTTGATCAGGTCGACATCGAAGAGAAGAACATCTCAATAATAGCGATGACGCTATTTTTGACTTAGAGGATGATGGCGATGCGGGTTTTTTCAGCATCACCAACGATCGTTCCTGTGAGGTGAATGACACCCTCACTGATGAACATAAAGAGCAAAGAACTCTTTCTGAGGTTCGCACAAGACAAACTGAACAAAACAATGTCTCGTCATCACAATGATTTCTGCTGACTCAAGAAGCATTGGTCCGTTTCGTGCAGGACTCCATTGCTCACGAGATGGACCGGCAGACACGGAGCGATGACAAGAATGGAAGAGAAATGGTTCTTTGATTTATTGTAGGCAAATTAGTCCTACTATCTACGGCATATCTACCTAGACACGAAGTGACTGATGCATGCAGCAGTAAATTACTTTCCAAGTACATCGGCCTCTTTCGTGTGCTGCGCCGAAAATGCAACGCATACGCGATTGAGCTGCCGCGTAGGATGCGTACGCGTACTACAATTTACGTGTGCCGTCTTCTCCCGTAATATCAGTACGAGGTCTCTTCCTCGGGCAAATGCCCCGCCACGATCAAGAATCGCCTAATAATTCTTATGGTCCCGAGCCAGTCTTAAATCTGGATCCGTAGTGCCACATTTTGGCGACGTATGTCAGACACTTCGTCTAGGAAGGCTTGACGCCTCTGCTCCTCCTCCTCTTATCGGGTGAAGGTGAACTCCGCTGGGATTTTAAACCGATGAAGGTGGAGGCAATGCACAAGCGAATCCGAAGATAGAAAATCCTGTCTTTTGATCTTTTGCGATCGCACAGATCACGTAAACGTTGCTAAAACGATCCAATTCCGTCTGCAACCCCAACACATAGATTGAAATTGATCTTTCTGTCCTCACCGCAGCCGTTGGTGAAGTTGCACGTTAGTCAAAGCTTTCCTGTGGAGCGTATCTTGAACCACCGGGACTTGAAGGGGCAGCAAACAATTTATCTTGTTTTCTGTCACGCCAAATCGCCGTAGCACGACAGCTTGAAGCTTCGCGCGGAGCTGGTGATTGACGTTGAGGGTCTCGTCTACCAGTACGACGAGATAAACCCGCTGATTCAAAAGGGCCATCGGAGAACACGCACATATATTGCTGGTAGAGCTATCGCAGGTTAGCAATCGCATCGTGCACCTAAGAAAAAACGTGCCCCCTAGGGCCAAGAAAGGGAGTAAACGTCCTTCTGGCTTCCTTTCGTGTTGTCTAAACAACACAAATATACGTCGCTCAACGTGAGGCATGAAATTTCTGCCTCTCGAGATAGACAATGCAACCAGACTTTTGCAACATTTAAAGTTCGTTTCTCAACCCTGACACGAGCTACATCAAGTCTTTGTAGCTAGGTTTCACACCCAATGTTCCGCACATTGATCATGAAGGCGTTCCAAATCTACAGCAATATAATTTTTTTTATCTTTGCTATACCATCGACGCTTGAAAGAAGAATCGTGATAGATAAGTCCTCTTCAGCGCGAACATTGCTCGCGCTGATGTCGAGGCTGTGAAATCGCCTTGCACCGCCTTACAGATTCAATAACGTTGACTTGTCTCGCCTGATAAGTCATTTTCAAGCCTTTCTGGTAGTACTTAAGGCTTGTGTTCAGGGACTTGACGCATAACATCGCCGTCTAGAGCCTCTTGCGTGGTGCCATCGGAAGTTATGGTATCACTACAATCGTCATCGCGACGTTGCAACGTGTCACCACTTTCGCTAGAAAGAGAAAGCGCAGTAGAAGGGAATGAGTTAGAACACTTATTTTTTTAAACGAAATAGGCTCTTGTATTGACCACGAGCCCGACTTTCCGCTCGAGTCCTATTCATAGGCTCATACTTGGTCGCCCTTTGAGACTCGTACGACCTAAGCGTCTTCTTTAAGTCGGACCCATTTTCCAACTCCCCCGTATAGATAAGTTGCTCCTGGGAACAATATTCATCATTAGCACGTGATGACACACCTCGTGTATCTGCAGCAAGTGGTGCTGCAGGAAGAGTTAAACCAATAGAAGATAAAGCATCGTCTGCCACGAGAGGCTGGGAGTGGTCAAGAGCAAATGCGTTAGCTTGAGCGGCTACCTTCATAGCAGCTTTGGCCACGTATCGCGTGGTTTTGATCACTATGCGATAAAGATCCAGAAATGAATAGATTCGACCAAAACAAGAGCTCCCTTTCCTTGATGTGGTCTAACAGTGACCACATCAACACGATAGTGATTAAGTGCATTACGTCTTAGCGGGGGTGATGTATCAGGGTGAGCATGTTTGATGTAATTAACCCTATAAACTTGTTGATTCGAATGTTATTATAAAGGTTGACAATGCTCGTGAATATTTTCATAAGGGGCGATATTCCGAAGCACTCACCGATTGGCTTATATAGGCCATCACATCAGCTATCTCTAGCGGTCCAATTAACGATGGACGTGCGCAATGAGTGGTGAGCAAGACTTTAGCATACTTTTTAGTAGATAGATATAATTAAGTTTGGACTAAACATATGTACATGTATTTAGGAATTACTTATATTCTATAAACTTTTACTTTCTACTCCTATTGAACACGTCGTTCATTAGCTGGCCTTCCTCTGCACGAACAGTGTACATGAAATGACGCGCAGCACTACCTACACTGTTGAAAGTGTAGGTGCACTATTACTGAATCAGTACTAGCGACCAGTGCCCCGTTACAGCCCCTGGTCAGAATTCGTTTCGGGATCAATGCGAAAAGCCCGCTCGGTCAGACCTTGTACGCCTGCACGATAGATTCGTTTCGACGCATTTGTCAGCCTTTGGCAGCGCTAAGAACAGGTACGGCACACTTCCACGTGCCGGAAAAACTATTTGCGTACAAAAGCGCAAGTATGGAAGTTCAACCATAGGATATTCCAGTCGGTCGTGACGACTGCAGGATATCTTGACCAGATCTTTCGCTGCAAAACATGGGTCAGGAGCACACGTTGGAGGGCCCTTTCAACAATACATTTGGTCATTTTTAGGTTATGCGCCAACTTGTTTTCAATTGTGGCTGAAAGCACGTTGTTGCGTCGAGCCAGACTTGTGCAATTTGACGTGCTTCAAGATTAGAGTAATGGTCGTACACCCACTTCTGAACTGCACATAAATTGCTCTGTATTCAAACTGGTGAAAGTGTGCATCAGAAGTAGGCATCGAGTCGTTTATATCGGCCAAGCATCACGACTCAAGGTTTGGTGCACAGCATTTAATGAGATTGTTGCAGCTCGCATCAAAATAGAGGAGTGTTTCGAAGCAACTTGTGTAAAAAAATTGTCGAATCAGTCAAAGTGTTTGGCCCGTAGTCTTTACGGGTGGGTCATTCGCTTGCACGACAAGTGTACCAAATTCAACCTTTTGACTATCTCCTAGATGCGCAGGAATCCAAGAGCGGGGCCGCTCCAAATCAAACTTTATTGCATTACGATAGCTACTTAGAAAAAGCAAATTATGTTGACGATGAACGCATCTAGTTCTCGCAGCCATCACCACCAGCAATAGCTAGACACGCGGTAGAATCGTAGGTGCTCAAGATGTTGGTCAGGACGGACCAAGTGAGCGCCAGCACTAGATACACGACCGTAATAATACCCATAGTGAAGCTAGAGCCACCAAGACGTTTCATGACGTGCGTTTGCTCCTTTTGCCGAGGAAGCATTGGCAGGAAGGACAGCGATAATAAGTTGACCATCCACATGATCAACACTGTGATAGTCACGTCGTATCGTATGTCGTGGCTGTCATTTTGGATCCGCTCCGTTGACAAGTCAAACTGACCATCAACGTTTCGCGTGATAGCCGCGGAAAAAGGGGTACAGAGATTGTAGACCGTCGTGAGCAGACCGTACATTGCACCTTCATGTCCTTCTGTAGACAACTCCACGATGATGAAAGAGCTCACAATGTAAATGATTCCTTGAGGAATTTGCTGAACAATGGGGATGCCGAGCCAGAGCCAAGGCGAACGAGTAATGTCCCAGATTGTCAACAGCTTTACCACGGCATCCAGCGCGAGGTTCGTGACCATGGTCACGAACGTGGTACGACGCCAGTCCCAATCACGACCGTAATTACCAGCAAACCAAACAGAGACGGCAAAGACGGCTGTAGTAAAGTAGCCAGCAATCTTCTCCGCAAGAGGTGATATGTTCACCCAGTTCGTCTGGATAGGATAGCTCGATACCCATGTGAATGTTGCAAAAATGCCCGAAAACGTTTGATAGGCGATATACTGGTACACAGCTCGAGTCTGCACGATATCCCACAGCTCGTGCATATAGTGTGTGAAGCTCTTGTGGTGGTTCCAACATTTTTCCTCGTAAATGCAAAACCATGTGATCGGAACCATTGGCACGAGAGCGATCGCCACGATCAACATGAGCATCGAGAAGGACAGCGAAAAGTCAAAGTCACCACCATATTCTTCACCATTAAAGCAGAACGCGACCAGGATCAGACCGAGGATGTTAAATGCATATCGCGTTGTGTAAATCACAGTTTGAGTCTTTCCTCGGATCTCGAGCGGTTCGCGCTGCGCCAGCTCCACCACAATGCCGTCTGCACACACATCGGCCATCAGGTAACCAAAGACGCACCCCATCATTGGCACAATGTACATGCTTCCCTGGGTGGCTGCATCGTAGTTGATCGTTTCGATGATCTTGGTTGTATAGTTTTCCGGCTTTACGTCTCGATACTGCGCGTCGGTGAAATAGGGACTTTTAACAGGCGTGAGCACCATGACCAAGAGCATGGCTATCGCGATCACCCAGCCCATGACCATGTAAGGCCGACGACGGTAGCCCCAAAGTGGAAAACAGTCCGACACAATGCCGTAGACGACTTTGAAACTCCAGGGTAGTTGGACCATCACGCTCGCCGTCGTGGTTTGCGACCCGGGGATATTAAGATAGTTCTGCAAGAAGGGATAGATGATGTTGGGCAGTACACCATCAACGAATCCAACCGCGGCATATTGTGCGACCAGCCCGATGTACTGCGAGGAGAAAAGCTCGAGTGGTCCCCCACTTCGAAGCGCACCGCCTTCAATGTAGTCATCGTGGATGAACCGCAGCTTGTCGTAGTCGTGCGACAGCTCCAACGGAGATAAGCTGCATCGCGAGTCGCCCATCACAGCTGCAGAGTCCAAGTCGCAGAGCTCGACCTTATCACTAACCCGTGGCATATCTGTATCTGTTGGTCTGGATAGGGCGCGGCTATAAGAGACGAAGCCTTTGTGGTCGGCAGAGCAGATACGATGGATAGAGCATGTGCATGAAGTGCGAGACATCTTCTCTCAGACAGCAGGAATGCAAAGACCGCACACTTCTCTTTGCGATGTGCACTATCATGATACAGTGTCGACACGTTTTTGAGGGAAAGCCACATACCCCCGTGTCGTTCAATGACGTTAATTGTCGTAGAGAAGACGCATTGCGTCACATTTGACATGCATCGGCTCTCTCGCACGTAACAAGTAACACGGTATACAAGACATGAGCAGAGCCTTTTCATGTGACTGCAGAGAGCAGCTTCATCTGCTGAAACGGTTGACCGCAATCGAGCACAAGTCTCAGATCATCGCGTTCGGTTGTTGCTCAGTACTCTCATATGGGTACGATACCATCTCCCCTCTGTTCACTGATTTCGTCACTCGGTCAGTGTGACGAATAACGTCTGGAACGACTCTACGCTAAGCATATTTTTACTCAACGACAGATGCGTCTCTACCGTCGTGCGAAAAGCTGTCGTCGAGCGACGCTTATTCTCGTACATCAGGACCTGATCAGACGAACAATGGGGCACGTACAGACACGATATATTCGATCTACAATCTGTCGTGATGCTTCGTGGGACACGATGACAGATGTAAATCGACAGCATACCTATTCGGAAAAGCCATGGATAGAGTCAGAGTCCTTATGTGCAAGCAAAGATGGGAAGCAAGAAACCTTTTTCGAGCACACGGAGCTTACTTTGTACTTCGATTGTGCAGCATAGCTGCCTGGGAGCATATCCACTTTCTATCTGTGCGTATAGATTGACTACTAGGACGCGGTAGCATTCTCCTTCGTGAGGTTCCCGCTCAACTATGGTATGGGTCGATGTGAATACAGTACCAAAATAGTATCGCCCATCGTCTTGCTACACAGCTGAGATATAACGGAATGTTTCAGGTGTGCAAGACTGTGTGAGGTGTGCGTCACATGTTGTTGCATTGTAATTCGCCGATTCGCTTCATCCAAGATCTCTCTCATCCTCGGAGTTCTTTTCCAGCATGGAGCCCATGTATGTCTCCCCGTGCGGCCAGACGGATCCCTCTGTGTAGGGACTTGACCAATCGAAGGCTTTGCGTTGAAGAGATATTACTCATTGCTTGCCCAGGTCTACGCATATCCCGAGGTAAAATGTGATTGCTGGATCTGCTGGGCCATCAATTCGTTCAAGATTGTCAAACTTTGGGCTGCATAGCCCTCGTAGGCGTCATCTGAGATAAATGCGCACTTTACGGATGCTAGAAAACAGCTTGATTCCAGATGCAACACATTTGCTCACACAGTAATATTTTGTGTAGACTGATCTGCCTCACTACACGTTATGTTGTAGTTCAGAGTATCGCTTATCAGATACATGTTGCACATGACAACGTGAACTCCGCTCTGCGCGAACGTTGATCAGCGAAAGCTGCCGTCCGTGAGCCTCTTCTCAAGCCTGTCTCGAATTACTCAGTTAAGAGCCACAACGGCACTCGGCCTCACAGGTAGTCAGCATCGACAATTGCCCTCTACGGCAACACTAACTCGTGCTTGAAGGATCAAAGCTTAAGATTTGGGCGATTTTTGGTTGCGTTTCTAAATCACCGGTTTTTGATACACATCGCGGAAAAGCCGTTTCTCCTATTACTTAAAATGTTCATCGATGTACATTTGTTTTATACAAACCGCATCAAGTTAAGCTTCGACTTTCAACCGGAGTGTTCTTGAGGTTGAACGTGAATGTCCAACAAGATTAAGGAATATCATATATCTACAGCTTATTTTACATATAGAATATAAAATGTTACAGGATAAGAATATAATTTTTCGCATGAGGAATGTACACGAAATTGCACACGTATACACTCCGTGCCAGGAATCTTGGGGTGCTGTTTTAATCGGTGGTGTATTTTAATGGTAAAAGCACCTTACGTGTGATAAAAAATTCGGGATATCGCAAAAAGCAGGGGGCCTCACATTCTAATTTCTAGTTCAGCAACAGCAACCTAAAATATCATAAAAATTGGCCTACAAAAGCTTAGTAATTGTAAAAGTAAGATCGTATATTTGGACAAATTCCAGCGGCCAATGACATTTGGTTCCAACAGCAACTAGACAGGAAATGGCAACAAGAGGCCACGAATGGATAGTATCCGTTCATGCCGTGCAGCACATCCTTACCGATTTCAACGGGCTCGTATACGTTAAGATGTAGTATACGGCGTGTCTCAAGCCGCAGCTGTAACGGGTAGCCCGTTACATGATATTCGACACCAAACGGTGTCAATAGGGATATTGTCTAGCATGACAATATCCTACCAATATTATCCGAGATAGATAATATTGAAGGAATATTATCCCCTTTTTGATAATGTTCATGCACTGCTCCAAAGTTGGTTGATATAAGACATATCAACCATAGATTGGTTGATATAAGACATATCAACCATAGATTGGTTGATATAAGACATATCAACCATAGATTGCCACCAATCGCTTCTGGACACGCGCAATGAGTGGTGAGCAGGTTGTCGTCATGCGAAGATTTAAGTTATATTGATAGCTTAACTATATTAAATTACAGACCTCTTTTTACCCTTACTTAAACGAGTCGTTCAAGTAGATTGGCTTCCTCTGCACGTACTAGTGTACGTGTAGTTTCGTGGCACCCAGACAAAGGGTGCCCCGTTACAATGATAAAGATTAACATAGTTAGATAAAGATTCAAGTTATGTTGATAGTCTAACTATATAAAATTCTAATCCCTTTTACCCTTTACTCAAACGATCTGTTTGAGTAGATAAGCTTCCTCGGCACGTACGAGTGTACATGAAGTTTCGTGGTACCCTAAACAAAGATGGCCCCGTTACAATGGTGGTGTGAAACGAATCATGAGGTAGCTTGCTGGTACTCGTAGTATGGGATTCCTGTACACACAAGGCAAGCAAGTCAACAAGAAACTTGAGCACGATGTCATGAACGGATTTTGTGATGCAGATTGAGGAAATGATCCTAACTCATGGAAAAGCATGTCTGGATTTGTGATAATGATAAATGATGGAGCAGTCGCACGGGCTGCTCGACGACAAACAATCATCACGCAATCAACAGCAGAAACTGAGAATGTTGCAGCCTGCAAAGTTTTGATGGATGGCACAGGCATTTCAAACATGTTGGATTCAATTCTACAGTGCATCTAGGTGAACAACGTGCTTACAATAGGAGGGGACAACATAGCAGCTATAACTCTGGCATGCAAGCCAACGTACAGCGACAAGACGAGACACATTAAATTGCGACGGAATTGTGTGCGTGACCATGTCAAGAAAGGGCTCCTACAGGTTTACAAAGTGGAAGAAAAATGAGTTTAGCGGACATGTTCACAAAGGCGCTACCCAAAAGCAGTTTATCAAGATACCGATCGCAAATAGGCCCGCAAGCCTACTTGCCGGCAGAGTATTTCGATGCTAGCGTCGGAGGGTTTGCGTTGTAATAGCTTACGACAGATATCAGGTGGACCTTGAAGGCCCTGGTGGAAATGGGACCAGCCGTGGAGCAAGTCGGCAAGGGAGAATAGTGGATGGCGAACGGGGGACGAGGTGATTCTCATGAACGTGAATAAGGGACGAGAAATCGTAGTAAAGTAGCGGTTGGCCGGTCGACCACTGCGTGTAGAAGCAGAGTTGCTCAGTCTGGTGTTTGAGAAGAAAGACGCAAGTCGTTGTTAGCAAGAGAGATAAGCTAGGTTAATATACCACTGTGTGTTAGTAAAAAAGCGGTGTTACCTCGTGGATCATGGAGACGGCACTAGCTTCGAGCTAATTAGAGCGCTACGCGACAGAAATTGCAACAGAGACTGGGCAAGATAATACGTCAGGAGCGCAAGCTGGATCACATCAGATTTTATCAGAGATGGTGCTCTCTAGCCACAGCAAGCCGCTAAAGCTACACTTTGTGTGTTTCAAATGAAGCTAGTTACAGGTGACATACCCTGTATGTGTATATAGAGAGAGGACGAGAGCATAATACGGATAATTTTAACTTTTGCGCCTATTTAGCTGTACGTAAAAACGTGTGACGGCGTTTGCAGTACGGAATAGCAAATTTACTGTACGAATTAACCTTGCCCGCCAAAGTGTACTTAACGATTAACAAAGGGTGAGCAAATACGCGAAGATAACCCACTACTGATTCCAAGAGGTGCTTAAAGGTGGGGGTCATCTACAAATTAGTTGCTGCTCAAGACATTATCTAGTACATCGAGGGCGGCGTGTCGACAGTCAAGCAAACATTTCACTGCAGTTTCGCCATGACACGATATTTTCATCGTGCAGTGTACTTAAAAATATGAAAGGCACCGTAAAGTCCTTGCAGCACATCCATCTTGTTGTCGCCACAAGTCCTGCACTCAACATCCTACCGCTCAGATCAATCAGTCAGTTCGCCCTTGATACGACAGCATGTTAGCAGCAATGGGACGCTGGCTTCAAATACTCGAGCCAAGCTGCACAATGTGCGGGTAACATGGCAGCGTGAGAAAATCAACCATGTCGTCTCCGGTCAAAATGTTGCCCACAATCTCTCCACCTAGTGTCCACTTGTCGCCCGCAGCGGCATTTTGGGAACGCTTGTTTACGCACTTTTTTAAGATCTCCAGAACCAACGCCTTCGAAATGGTCTTGCCTTCAACTGTCTTGCGGCTGTGACGGATCCACTGCCACACCTGAGCACGTGAGATCTCAGCTGTGGCGGCGTCCTCCATCTTATTGTGAAGTGGTATGCAACCGCTGCCGCGCAGCCACGCCTCGGTGTACACTAGCGATACGTCTATGTTCTCCACCAGACCGCTGTAGGTGATAGCACCAGTTGGAGGCTCAATAAGCTGAGCTGCAGTAATTTCCTTGCCAGCGTCAGAAATCCACGAAATCTGGTTGGGACCCGACATCTTGCTGAACGCTTCCATTGCAATCTTGACAAGGCCGGGGTGCGCGACCCAAGTGCCATCGTGACCCGCAGCCACTTCACGAGACTTGTCTTCCATGACAGCTGCCATAAACTTACTATTCAGCTCCGGATCATTCTTCACAGGAATCTGGGCTGCCATACCGCCCATTGCGTGGGCGCCACGACGATGACACGTGCGAACGAGTAGCTTGACGTAAGCAGCCATAAAGGGCGTAGTCATGCCGACCGACGAGCGGTCGGGCACGACAAACTGCGGGTGATTCCGAAACTTCTTTATGTACGAAAAGATAAAGTCCCAACGGCCACAATTGAGGCCAGAAGAGTGATGACGTAGTTCGTACAAAATCTCGTCCATCTGGAACACAGCCAGGATAGTTTCCACGAGCACGGTCGCACGGATCGATCCCTGCGGGATGCTCAAGTAACCTTGCGCTGCTACAAAGACATCGTTCCATAGCTTTGCTTCCAAGTGATGCTCAAGTTTTGGCAGGTAAAAGTACGGCCCCGATCCACGTGCTACAAGCTCGTGGGCATTGTGAAAAAAGTACAAACCAAAGTCAAAGAGCGAGCCCGACAGAACCTGATTGTTCACCAGCACATGAGCCTCGTCCAGATGCCACCCTCGAGGACGCACAAGCAGCGTCGCCACCTTGTCATTCAACACGTACTGCTTGCCCGTCTGTGGGTGCGTGTACGAAATCGTTTTCCGTACAGCATCCACAAGGTTCACTTGGCCGTCCACCTGGTTCAACCACGTCGGAGCTGTCGAGTCCTCAAAGTCTGCCATGTAGCACTTAGAGCCCGAGTTCAGTGCATTTATCACCATCTTGCGGTCCACGGGACCTGTAATCTCGACCCGGCGGTCGACCAAGTCCGCAGGAATCCGAGCCACTTTCCAGTCGCTCTCGCGGATGTACACGGTCTCTGGTAGAAAATCGGGGAGCGCACCAGCGTCCAGCTCCTTCTGTCGCTGGACACGAGCAGCCAGCAGAGCTTGACGTCGAGGCTCAAAGTGTGTGTGGAGGAACGCAAGGAAACGCAAGGCATCGGGCGTCAGTACGCGGCGAAAGGGGTCCGAGACGTGGCCGAGGACACGGACATTGGCGGCGTTGAAGGACAGTTCCGACATGGCAAGTTCCGTTGTTTGGGGAGGGAGGTGGAATCGGCGGTTGGGTTTGGAAGCAGATTCGAAAGTGAGGGTTGAGACCAATCCTGAGGCGAAGCGGCGCTTGAAGATGCCGACGTGAAAAACGTGATTCGAGTCGGTCTTCAAGCTGCAACTTTCTTGTAAGTGGAGTGCGGGTTCCAGATTTAGTGGGTAGATTGATGAGTGACGTCGCCCGCGTCACGACGTCGGCTCGTGTTCGCTGCATACAAAGTGTAGGTTTAGTTTGTTGGACTTTCACGGCGCTTTTTCTGTCCAACCGATGCATGCAATTCGATGTGGTCTGCGTGCGTTAAATGCTTCGACAATTGCATTGTAGATGTCCATTCCTCAGACAAGTACAGCGGCAAAGGTCATCGTAGTGCTCAATCGAGCTTTACAGATCCAACTACAAGATAACCGCAACTTAAATGTGTCTGTGAGAATTTGTTAGGTGGTACGTTTTCTGCAATCAACGAGAGTCAGTGCTGCATTGTTGTGACTTTCAAGTTTTATCCTGATAGGACTTTATGTCTATCCGGAGAGTATGACGTGATTGACCACCTCAATCAGAAAAGCAGTGCTGCTGTATGGGCTTGAGATCCCAGCACGCTTTCATGATGTGGAGCTGATGCAGAAATGCAGGACGCAGGTATGGTTACGCGATGACAAAGATGGATTGTGTTGACATGCTGCAGTAAAAATTCCAAGAAAATAAGCATTTTCTAGTATTTTTGACCAACGTCTGTAAAAATCAAAGGTTCCAGGCAGCAGCATGACGGCGTAGGAGTGGACTCACAGCGGCCTTCATCTGAGATTACCAACGGTCCCGGACACCGTTGATTATCGCACGTAGTCGTGGATCAAAATTGCTCGGTACACAAGCCTTGATCTCCTCAAAAGTAGAATCCAAATATTAGCATTTGAGTGTGCATCAATGAAGAGCACTCAAGCCACACGATTCCTCATTGCTGGATGCATACATTGATGAAGATTAATCAATCCATACGATAGCTCGTAGCTGGATGTCACGTTCTAGTGATGTCGATGAATGCTACACGGTGATTCTCTATCCATTCCTTGAAGAAACAACGAAAGGTACATACTTTTGCATAGAATGTCTCAATAGGAAGTGCATGTGATTTATGATCACTCGCCTACTCGCGTCGCGAGTGGTGACATGGTCGCCAATAATCGAAGGCAAGCTCAGTGGGTCAACATTGATAAACATAATTAGATGACGGCTGGGAACGATGCAAGAAAAGCTCTGGATGAGGGCATATAATAAGGCACGATGTACTACTTTTTAGTGTTGGAGGATTAGTTAAGCTAAGCAATCAAAGGTGACAAATATGCAAAGGTTGGGGTTGAAACTCACACATCGCTAGTTACTTGTTTAGCGGCCTCGTGCTTCTAACTTTCAAACCTTCACACCCACAACGTCAAACTGGAGATTGCCTCCTGAACATTTGACGAATCTAGTTATTCGAGTTCGATGCTCGCATTTTAACAAAAAATGGCCCGCCATCTGACAATGTGATGGTGCTGCCTACAGCAAAAGAGATCATCCCTTTACATACGCTTACAGATTTGAAGGGATAAACTTCACGTCAATGCTGGTAGATTATCCTAGGGTACGAAAGCAAGCTCGAGGAAAGACCATCATGCAGTTATACCAATGCTAATAGAAGTGTTACAAAAATACACCGAGAGAGGTTAAGGAAAATACCGGTGCTGTCGCTGCACGGCCCTACTTGAAAACGCTCGAGCTTGATTGAGTCAATAGCATGTAATTGTCACGGATATTGATTGCAGGCATCACGTCAAAAAGAAGAGTTTGTCGTATCAACTTTTTGTCGAAAACGAGTCATTGACGGAAGTTACAATTTTCGAATAGCTTACAAATGCAAACTAACAGGCATCCCGATGTTCTGGCAGAATCGGCTTGTTATTATGATATCAATTCTACCGATGCGCGACGTCGCATCGTCCCGGTCAGTGCTAGGTTAATGCACCATGTATGTTGACGGTAATTTGCGAGATTTTCGCCTTCATTGTCGATTGGCACGCAACATGTGGCAAGCGATCCAATCAGATAAACAAGACAAAACCGCGCATGCCTATTTAGTTTGAGATCGAAATGGTACTCAGATCCAGTGAGAAGAAGTTGATCGGCCGGGAGTCTACACGGCGTGTAACTGAGCGATGCAGCAGCAAAGAGCACTTGAGGAGGATACGGCCAAACACAGAGCGCATTTACGACAGCAGCCACCGTAGCCCATAACAAAAGTGAGGCATACAATTGAATGTCAAACGAAAGATGCTAGTGTCGGATTATCGAAGAGTATATGTCGGTGGGTGTTCATCAAGGTTGTGCATTCGAGTTTACGGACCTTTATTTCTACTAAGCTCCATTACTTTAGGTATGAAAATGCACCCGCAAAGTATACACAGGAGGCCATATGGGAAACTAATACCATTCAAACGATGTGCTCGCAACCTTTCAAAAGGCCAAGTTTTTTCAGTGTGCGGTCGCGTAGGTACTTTAACGCCTTGCGAGCCGATTGATCACCTGCATTCGACAACAAAAAAGGCGAGATGATTAATGATTGAGGCGGCTTTTTAGATTATCGGGTTGCGCAACCTGATCATACTTCAGCTATAAGTGGCCGAGCTGTTAAAGAGTTTCTTTGCAAGTCAAGTTTGCAAACAAACACACTGAAAGGTTAAGCACTCGCTGATACAGAGCAGATTTTATCAGTGACACACAGAATATTAATGCAATCGATATATTTTCACGTCTGTCGATATCGATTGTTCGAATGCGTGTGGTAACCTTGACGTGCGCACGTTTAGCAACTTTGCTTGGAATTTGATTTCAGTGATTAAGTGCCCACCGCAATATGCCCGGTATTGACTCGAGACCCGAGATTGCTGACGCCCTAACTGGACAGATGGTTTGGAAATAAAAAAAATGTCTAGTGAGCGAGTGGGCTGTCGACGATCCGTTAGAAGTTGACGCTACAGTTGTGTATAGACTGAACGGAAAGCACAAGTCGTTTTTGTAAGAAATTGTCTCAGGCTCATCTGTTAAGAGAAGATCTATTAGCTGCGAAATTGTAGCGACTTTCTTGACCAGAAAACATGGCACATAAGACGTATAGCTTGGTGACATGTAGTATTTTAGAACCGAGTCAACGAATGGCAATCAAGGTCCCGTAGTGCTTTCTTCGTCGTGCGAATTCTGACAGCACATATCTGAGGTCGTACAGCATGAGTAAGATTTCTTTCGCCGTGCTGTGCCTACGTCGGCGTCATAAAGATGTGTTCTATAATTTGCGAGTCAATATTCGGCTATAACTATGTGTGTAATCGTGAAGCAATTACCCAATCTGGTTATTATCATGTTGGTGAAGAGACTTATCCTTTTCCCTTAACATTCTATAAATAGGAAAGCAAGCTCTGAGGCTCGCCCTTTGATATGAGAAATTCAGTTCATTGAACTAAATTAAGCTGCAAAAATAATTCACAACAGCAGCCGGTCACTGAAGAATGAGCATGATGCTGTTCATGTCTAAATTAACCTAGAAGTATGCTCTTGCAAAGCTATCAGCCTTGCTTGTGAGCGTCCAGTATTTGCTTACGTAATACCATTCACCATTGATCGATCTTAAGCCAATCGCGTGCGTGCGTCACAATGATTCAGTGGCCTAGCCAAAGAGTGACTTCGGATACGCCCATACATGTTATGGGAGGGGACGTGCTAGATTGCACTCAGTACGTGAAAGGTACACCTAGCCGCGTCATTAGCAGACAGACAGACGGATAAGTACTATCTAAAAAATCGGCATTCACCTTGCGTACAGTCACTCATAGCTTCACCCTTCGGGCTGGTAACTATTTATTTATTTTAGTTTTAGGTACAGTATTTACATTTAGTCTTTCGAAGGACACACATCTGTCCTTATCTGCAGGGGCCTACACATACCCCACCGAATGGACGTTTTTACTGAAGGCCAGCCAGTCCAGGGCCCCCGGACTGTTTGCTGTCGGGGGTTTATGCTTCTACGGCAGGCCGAGCGAAGTGGTACCGTGGTTCCGGGTGGTATCATTGAGACATAAGCTTCACACATTTTTAACGACCTTGAGCTGGTCATTCGGGGACCGAACCGGCAATAAAGCGCTATCCATGTTATTTGAAGTGTCCGTCCCTTGGTCAGCATCATGTGCTGCCCGGGATAGACTACCCGTGCCATTACTAACGCGCGAGGGTAAAATATGTTCTCACCCATTTACGTTCCACGGATTATACTCAAACTTGGTATAGAGAAAGACCAGATACTCTGCATTATATGAAGTCACGTGCCGTTCTTGGCTCTGCTCCTGACAGAGATTACTATTCTTAAAGCGTGTTTTTAAAGGTAATTGAGTGGCATGCCAACTAATACTTCATAAACTGCTTCAACAAGAGATTAAATTAGCAATTAAAAAAATGTTGCTTTTAGAAAGCACACTTTAAATACTTATTACTTACACATTTAACCTCCTTTTGCTCAGGTCAAATTAGATCCCACCCTTTATCCACCGCAAAAAAAGCAGCTCAAAAAAACCCGTCACCATCACCTCTTTGTGCTCACGCTGGCCGCCCGCGACACTGCCTCCATGTCTTTTCTCATACTACCAAAGCTCAAAGCGTTCTACTATAACACTACTGTGGGTTATTTGCGACAGCACCTGCAGTGTGTGTGATTTATGAGATGCCGATCAGTATGTCAAGGTGGGCTTAGGTAGCGTGACTTTCATTCGGTAAAATTGGCGTGACAAAGAAAGTCCTGCCGTTTTTGTTTTTCAAGTTTGAGTTCTTGACACTTACTAAGCTTAAAGCTAAGGTACAATTTGGATTTCACGTGATATGCTTCGAGCTAAAGCGAGCAATGCCTGAAGCAGAATAAAGCAGTCTTGCCACAACATATTTTTTTGGTGCT